AGTAGTAGCAGTAGTAGTACTTAGTAGTGGTAGTGGTGGTGGTGGTAGTAGTAGTAGTTAGTAGTAGCAGCAGTAGCAGTAGCAGTAATAGCAGTAGTAGTAGTTCTAGTAGCAGAAGCAGTAGCCTGATCGAATCAGCTTGTGACTTGCAAAGTTGCTGAACCCTTGTTGTGTGGTCCTGTGCATGGTGACAGGGTCCCAGCCCGATCGCAGGTTTTTGGCTGGGCTGGGTATGGGGTTTGAAATCCTTGGGCTCGAGAGCCTCGTGCCCCACTCACAGTCTTCCAGGAATTCATTCTTCATGCACACAAAGTTTGTCAAACTCGGCGCGGTTGAAGCTTATGACATCCTACCAAACAGTACAGTTTAAAGTAGAAAACATTCACACCGCTTTAAAGTCGCGGACAACACCCCGCGAAATCTAATTCAATCTTCTTGAGTCACATTCAAATCTTATCGAAGCTGTTACATCGTTTCAAACTCGTTCGGGCTTTATTAGGCAGTGTGCACGATAGGGTGCAGTCGAATGCAACAGTGAAGATGCTTGCTGTTTTGCGTTGCAAAAATCCCAAACATTCACCACCGTTTCGAGGGGGGTTCCGCCCCCTGCTGGATCGAGGGCTTTCTCCCCTGGCTCCTCCCTGGTGACACCCCATTTAGATTTAGGGGGCTCGCCAGGGGGGAGACTCTCCCCCCTTGTTTTTGGGTTTGCAGAAATTATCTATGGTCAACTTCTCGCCTGGTATAGGTTTGAAGGCTTGGATGCTTATTACAGTGTTTTGAGTTTTGCTAGTTTTACGTCTTACCTTTATCAGTGATTCCGTATTGTGTTATCGATTCTATGTATTATTAATTTGTTTATAGTTTCGCATCTACTTGTCTGTAGTTGTTTCGTTGTTATTTCATCGTTTTCATTTATCTTTACTGCATGTCTTTGTATTGCCTTTCTTGTTCTTAGTCTGGTTATTTGTGTTTGACTGTTGTATTTGCCTTAATATGCTTGTATTTGCATATCCGGCAATCCTGCTAGCCAGCCGATCTTTGCCAGAGCCAGTGCCCTCTTGCTTCATCTTGAAATTGTAGCGGTGCCAAGCAAATCTCGACACGGAAGAGTTCAGTCTAATGCACCATTGCAGACGTTTTCCCATACTTATCTTGTTATGGCAGATCATGAACCCGCACGCCATTCCATCTCGGATGACAATTGGCCACTTGGTCGAGCAGCTCACCGGAAAGGCGAGAGCTGATGCGCGAAGTCGGCAGAGGAACGGATGAGTATCGCAGATTGAGCTTCAGATGTTGTAATCACCGATCCAGTTTCATACAGAGCTTGCAAATTCATTGAAGTTCCAGTGGGGCAGGTTGGCGCTTTGGTTGGCTGCCAGGGAGATGTCGCGGCCTTTTCAAAGACTGACCGACCGTTTCTGACTGCCCCGAAGAGCTTCTGGAATTTGCTGACTTCTGGCCGCGTCCGATCCTTTCCGGCATTGAGGCCACGCCCTTCACCCGAGTGACGGTGAAGGACATCTCGAGCAGGCACATTATGCAATGCCGCCGAAATTCGTCAGATGTCAGTCATCACCGAGAGTCAGACATGCGCGCGCAAGACCAAGCTGAGGCTGCATGACATGGGCTTCCAGCGCTTCGGAAACGAAAAGGTCTGGAACGGACACACTGGACGGCCACTCACTAACAAGATCTTCGTCGGGCCTGTGTGCCCCCGATTGTGTTAACAGCATGCTGAAGTTGAGGGAGGTTAGACAATACACACATAAGGACCGAGGTGAGGAAGTGCCGGGGTGGGATATGCGCTGCCAGATCAGCGACTCGTAAACCTCCCATGTCTGACGTGCCCCCTTCGCAGGTACTATCAGCGCCTGAAGCACATGGTGAGCGACAAGGTCCAGTCGAGATCCAGAGGGCCTGCCATAGCCCCAGCTTCACGATGCGACGCTTCGCTTGTCATGGACAGTGCCAATTTATTTGTCTTCGTGCTTTTGCTTTTCTTGATGGATTTTCTGCAGTCCGCCTTCTTAGTTGCTTTCCTGATGCACGGACTTGGTTTTGTTTCTCTGCCATCGTCAGGTGCAAACATTAGTCAGACAGCCAACAGAAGGCCGGCACAGGACTTAGACCAGGGCGGCTGAGCTGCAGCTGCTGGGCAACGCAGGCCGTGCCAAAGAAGGCGGCCTGCGATTTGGAGAGATGGACACTTCGCTGAACGTTCGAAGGTTTTGTTGATTTGCAGCCTGCGTGTGGACCATTGAGACACTGTCCTGGTGAGTGCTGAGGAGCGTGATTGCATCATCTCCCACGGAGCAGCCAAATTCCTTAAGGACAGCAACTTGCATTGACGTTTAAAGACAGTTCACATGCTTCTGCAGGAAAGGCTTTTCGATGTCTCTGATGCACACAGAGTGCATGTGTGCGACAAGCGAGGCACCTAGCTTTTATTTTGTCAGCCTCGAAGCTGGCGGAAACCTCCAAACTTCAAAATGTGCGTGTTCAACGTTGAAAGCCAGAGTCCCAGGTGTGGTCTTTTTGCCATCGCACGGTTAAGCAAAGACACCTACGAGTGCAAGATCTGCAAGGACTGGTGTGACATCGTCGGTTTTCTAGGGACTGACTTCAGATTGCCGCAACTCCACAAGCTGGACTTCGAACTGCCGAGGACGCGGCAAGAGTGTCTCAGATTTGCCTCCCGTGCGCACGTTCTGCTCTGTGGATGTGGAGAAAGCGGGAGAGAGACAGGTTGCACTACATGTTACATGCAGTCTTTCGTTGTGTTTGTTGTAGCAGTCACGAGTTGAAGCAGAGGGGAACAGACCACAGGCGGGGGAAAGTGCCCCACAGTTCGGGGGAAATATGCCCTGAAAATACGATGGTCCACCATGATATGCGACGTCAGGGGGGGGGGGGATCCCACTTTTGGCAATGCATATTAGACCTTCGTTTCTTGACAGACCATGACGTCGCCGGGGGGACATCGCACACACGCCACTGTAAAGCTGAGCCCCATGCAGAAAATCTGTATGGGGGACCAAGTGAGACACCCCAGGACATGCGGGTGCGTGCGCGCGCGCGCGGGTCTCAGGGTTGGACCGCCCTGGGCCCCCTACCTCATCGAGAGAGAGAGAGGGAGATTACACCCGAAGGAAGAAGAAGAAGCCTTAGTTGGAAGTGGTGCATATCGTACTGTAGGGGCACGGGCTGATGCCTGCTCCGGAACATTGCTCACTGTCCAGACATGCGTACCAACCCTCGCGGGGGACTAGCCTAGTATCCTTATTGGTTGCCTTCGTTCAGTACAAGAAATGAGAGGGGTACGCATGTCGATCAAGGAAGTAATTCCACCGTATCTGCTGGGGACAAGCGTTTACTGTTCATTGGGTTTGTGTCAACAGCAGAGACGGAAAACTGGTGTCCCAAAGAACCAGTGTACTGGGCTAGAAGAAATGAGGGACAAGACAGTTGTCAGCAACCCTCGTTTCCTAGCCACCTTTCACACCCTCCGAAATCCACACAAATGTGGGGGGCCAACTGGCCGCAGGGTTTAACAGACCCCTCATGCCCTGGGGAAGAGAGACATACATCGATGTATATACATAAAGAAATGCCCGCTGGATTCAATGTACGTACGCACCTACGTACGTATGTGTATGTATGTAGGTTTGTATATGTGTATGTATATTTGTATGTACTGTATGTACTGTATGTACTGTATGTATGTATGTATGTATGTATGTATGTATGTATGTATGTGTGTATGTGTGTATGTACGTATGTATGTATGTACGTATGTATGCATGTGTATGAATGTAGGTATGTATGTATATTTGTATGCATGTAGGTATGCATGTATATGTGTATGTAGTTTTGTATGTATGTATGTATGTATGTATGTATGTATTTATGTGTGTATGTGTGTATGTGTGTATGTGTCTATGTGTCGATAGTCTACTGTTGGACATTCCGAGGTACGCGTGCAAGCTCATGATCCAAGAGCTCATGACCATGAACATCCTGCCACGACTGACCTTGGTCGCCGCTGCCTCAGATAGCACCTGCTGGGCCAGGTCCCAAGACCTTCAGATGGGACAAAGCGAAATTAAGACTGACAACACTGGATAACAAGTGTTGAGTAGCTACGTAGCGAACTCAGTAGCGGTGGTTAATCAGTCTACTTATGGTCGGAATGCTCTTGGTCGCAGCAATAGCAATAGCCCACCATTCACCACTGCCCCTCGCCGGCATCATCCCCGTCAATACAATAGAGCTATGGGGAGGGATAACCCCAGTTACTACTACTACTACTACTAC